AATTCGTCCCGCCATTTATTTATAATTAGTGGTAATAAAAAATTTTCTGTGTCACATAAATTAAACCATTATACCTATTACACCTACTGTTGCACATCTCTGCATCACCCCATGGTTGACTGTTAGAGAATGCCACCCGGCATTAAGTCCGCCATCGTATGTTTGTTATACAGAAGTGTTAATAAATAAATAAATAAAAACAAATAAGTAAAACATATTTTTAGAGTACCTACATATGACGATATTTGCTTTGCTCATAACGGAGGTAACGCCTCTGGTGGAATACATTCTTGTTTTGCCCTATAAATTTTATAGGATATTTGGGGTACTTCGCAATTTCGGAAAAGGGAAGGTCTTCCGAAGTGGCTACATACATGATTATCCCTAGCAGGCTTACTATCTGTTGCGAATTTTCTTAAATTTTTTTGTGTCTAACCCTATATGCATCGCAAACTTAATAAGTACGGCTCCGGTACGGCTCAAACACGGCTCCGGAACGGCGTTTTTTACTTTGAAAACAAAACAAAAAGGTTGTAAGCGCGCGTTGGCGTCGCGCTTACGGTTTTTTTTTATATTGACGTTATGAAAGATGTCATCCGACATACGATTTAAAATTCATATTTCAATGACAATAACATTGCTGGGTTGGAGCCGTGCTTGTTAGGTGTGCGATCACCTGAAGACCAACACCGTCACAGGATTTCGGTCAAAAATATATGTAACATTTTAAATCAAATAATTTCTTAAATAAATTATGTATTTTCCAGTACGGCGACTACGACGAGAGTGCGTACAAGCCTGGTATGCTGGCCAGCGAGGATCTATTACCACAGCGGGTCATCGACCAGTACCAGATGACGCCGGAAATGTGGGAGGACCGTATTAAAATATGGTATGAATATAATAATATAAAAAGATAATAGATTAGTCTATCATTCATCAGTTTAACGTTTAACGAAATCGAAACGTGACCGCGTTTAACGCTCTGATTGGTTGGTTCATTGGAACCGGCCAATCAGAGCGCCGATCGCGGTATCCTTACAATTAGGTACTTTAAACGTAAAACAAACTCGTCCTAAGGCCTCAGTGGGCCGAACGCGGTAACGTTTCAATTCCGTAAAAAACTCGAATTAGGCCTTCTGAGCAAATGGAGCCGCGAAGGCATTAACGGGTTGTCGGGGCTCCGGCTCGAAGTGCAGGAGCAAGAACGTTGTGGTTTTTAGTCAGTAAGAGTCTGACACGCGCTCTCGCTTCATCCTGGCGGGAGAAGTCATTGTATGATTTTCCCCCCTCAAAAAAGGCCTTCTGAGCAAAAGCCTATCCCTTCAAGCTTAACGGACTTGAGAATACTGGTGTCCTCCCTTCCGTGCCTAGGACTTTTTAATCCCTAAAGATCCTTTTAGACTGGATGTTAAGTTCTATTCTACATCTCCATGTAGAATAGTTTTCACAAGTTATTTTAAATATAGCCTCATGTATAGTGGTCTCCTATTAACCTGTTGAAGTATCGTACCCTAAATATTATAACACTACAAAAATATAAGTATAATTTTTTATATTTACTTTCTACATAATATTGATTCCATTAGACGATTTTAGAACGAATGAAAATATGATAGCAATAATTGAAAAATTATATTTATGTACCCAACGTCTAAGACCTAAATTCACCAGATATTATTTTTGCTTGGTTCGTGGTACTTTTTCCTCTTTCTCGGTAACTGTACAAGTCATAGCCGAAAATGAAACATATCCTTTGTTCATACAAAAGTAGTCTCTAATTATCGGAAATAAGGTCTACAATATTATTGATGTTAGTGGAGAGCGGTCACCGGTGACTGCTTGGTAATTGAGCAGTTAATATACACTGGATAGAATTCTAAATTCTGTTCTGGAAACAATTGAAAAAGACAGTGGAATCTGATACACCTTGTAACACTACTTGATTTAGAAATTGTCAATGAATCAGGTATGCTGACCACAAAGGGATGTCGCGGGATGAGGCCGAAATGGAGTATCTCAAGATAGCACAAGATCTAGACATGTATGGAGTCAACTACTTCGCTATTAAAGTAAGAGGATATTTCTTCTATTTATTTTTCTTTGAGCGTTCTGACTGAACTCTAATCTGTCAATAGACTTTAAACTTTACCGTTTTGTTATAAAGTCGAATATCGAAAAAAAATGTACAGTTTAGTTCAGTTCAGTTTATTCGAGGTTCCTCGACAAATTTCAAGCCATAACCGGGGTCATAAACTTACGCAGCATGCTAACGACCTATATTTCAATTTACACAAAAGTTATAGAATATAACATAATTATATAGAATTTTTCCTCTTTTGCAGAACAAGAAAGAAACAGAATTATACCTAGGAGTAACAGCGTTAGGTCTAAATATATATGAGAAAGATAACAAATTGACTCCGAAGACAACATTCCCGTGGTCTGAGATCAAGCACATATCGTTCGACGACAAGAAGTTCGTCATCAAGTTCGTTGAGAAAACTACGAATAACTTTATATTCTTCTCGCCTAAAGGAATGAATAAATTGGTGAGTATATTTCTACTACATTTATCACTATACAGTATAGAACAAAGTCGCTATCCGTCGTCTGTCTGTCCCTATGTATGCTTAGATCTTTAAAACTACGCAACGGATTTTGATGCGGTTTTTTTAATAATAGATAGAGTGATTCTTAAGGAGGGTTTATATGTATAATACATGCATATTGCACCCGTGCGAAGCCGGGGCGGGTCGCTAGTACCAAACAAGTTTTAACATGAAACGTAATTCTGCCAATAAAAATCTAGTACTTGATGGGACTAGTGCAAATTACCCTTAAAGCCTTATTTATTTTCCAAGGGGTCTCGGGTTCGATTTCACGATCGGGCAAAGTATTACCAGGTATTTTAAAAGATAACTCAGTAGTAGTAGTGGAATTGTGCCCGGTATATGGCAATATGCTCATATGGGACTCGTAATATAAATAGTAAAAAGTGGGTGTTACATTGTACAGTGGCACTGCTGTGATGCACCTCTACCTATTCGTTTGGGAATAAAGGCGTGATGTTATGTTATGTTATTTTCCAAAGGGATATGCAGAGAAACGGAATAAGGCCTTGTGGCCTTAAACTGTCAAACACCAAGCGGTCACCGGTGACCGCAACCTATTGTTCTATAATTGTGTCTATATTGACGGTACTCGACGAGTTAAAATGTGTGTGTGTGTTCCGTTTCCATTGACAACAAAGGAGTATGAGTTTGCCACGATCCCCATACCTAGCAGTCGGCTGGGTATTAAAGGTACAATGCCAACTGTTTAGACCCTCAATGATGTCGAGAACCTAACGGGTAACCGGAGCTCCGGCTCGACCTGCATGTGAAGGAACGGGGCGGTTTTTAGTCAGTAAGAGTCTGACACTCCCTCCCGCCTCGCCCAGGCGGGAGAAGTCATTCGATGATTTTCCCCCCTTAAAAAAAAAAAAACAGACCCTCAATGATTGGTCATACACAGTCCTAGGCTATAATAAAGTCCGAGAGAAGATAGTAAAATTATCCTATTATAAGTCACTTTTATTTTTATTACATTTCAGATACTAGACTTGTGTATCGGTAACCACGACTTGTACATGAGGAGACGGAAGCCTGACACCATGGAGGTGCAGCAAATGAAGGCACAAGCCAAGGAAGAGAAACAGGTATTTATTTCTTATATACTTTATTGACTTGACTGCCTCGGCCGAGGGGTCGCAAGTGCGACTGCCAGATAAGGGGTCTCGGGTTCGATTCCCGGGTCGGGCAAAGTATTACTGGGGTTTTAAAAAATTCTCAATAGTGGCACGGGGTCTAAATTTGTGCCCGGTATATGGCAATAGGCTCACTCCCTATTACATGGGACTCATAACATAAATAGTGAAAAGTGGGTTTTACATTGTACAGCGGCATAATTCAATCAATAGTTTCGTCAGTTTAAAACATTTATAATATCTGAGCTGATCCAAAATATCTCAAACAAAAACAGAACCTTAATACGTTGATATATCGTAAATTTGTTCATACAAAAGTAGTCTCTAAACATTGGAAATAAGGTCTATAATGTAGTTAGTGGAGAGTTTTATTTTCTTCGGACCATCAAAACACTACACGTGAAATTAAACCCTATCTCACTAACAATACACATTACATTCCAGCGTCGTCAGATAGAGCGCAATAAGCTAGCGCGAGAGAAACAACTGCGTGAAGCGGCGGAGCGTGAGAGACAGGCCATGGAACAACGGCTCAGGCAGTACCAGGAGGAAATACGACTCGCTAATGATGCACTGGTTCGTATTACACTGTAAACATTTAAACTTTCGTGGGACATACCGAATAATTTTTTTTTTTATTATTTAAAAAAACGGTGCCCCACACTAGGATTTTCTCCTGTGTCGTGTGTGCGTTTACAAACATACAAGTTCACATACACATGACACCCAGACCTGGAACAACAATTTGT